AAAATTTGCCTTTTTAAACTCGTTTATTAGACCGAAGAATGACATTTTTAAACGTTCAGAACTTTCGGTTGTATTTTAACTAAAAGAAAAAGGATTTATTTAATTATTTTATGTTAAATATTTATTTCGTTATACAATTCTAATATAATCACAATCTAAAACTCCGAATAAAATCAATTACCATTAAAGTTTGGAATATAAATAGTTAATAAACTATTTAGAAAAGGACGATAATTAACTTACAAATAATTTTAATAACTTATCTCTTATATGAATCACCTAATCAATCGAACTAATTATCAAAATAGGCACGTAAAATCTATTTTCCATTCAAATTTCCATACTTTACTTGTTCGCTATTTTTAATGAAAAAAAATTAATATTTTATATAAAATGTAATGCAAGAATATTAGATGTATTTAGTGATTAGATTAAGATTGAATTTGATAGAAGAGATAGGAGGAAACAGTTGCTTCCGCATCAGCTTGTTTTTGATTATCTTAAATTCAAACATGACCGCTTTGCACGTAAGTGTTTACTCTGTCCGCCGATGGCCAACCCTGTTTCCTGAATTTCCACAGCAACTTGTTCTTAAAACATCAGCGAGAACGACAGAACCTGTTTTTCGAACTTCCTTATTGTATTTCGAACTCAACGGAAGAATAAGATCACTTATAGACTTTTCCTTCCGGGAAGCACACAACTTGTAAAATAAATATTGTAATTCATTCGGAAGAAAAAAAACACGATATTTGATATGGAAAAGAATTAGTTTCTTCTATAATCAAATTTCATCTAATACAGAAAAGTGAAAATATTCGCAATTAGCACAACTATTTCAATATAACATATAACAATTTCAGTTTGAAGTGTAGGCATACCTATCTTCTTACAAATATTTATAGGTAAAATATAACTTTATGTGAAAAAAATATAAATTTTATGATTTGTGTCATTAATGAGATAAGTATCTTTCTTATTTTATAAAATAAATTCAGCTTTAAAATTTTTACTATTTTTATTAACGTAAAATTACTTTAGATATGGTCTTATATATATATATATAGAGCCTATATAATTTATCGAAAGAATCACTCTATAAATTATTGATCTAATTACTCCATAAAATCTTGTACAATTAAAATATAAAATTCGGAATTTATTTTAAATTTTTAAAATACATTATATATATATATATAACGTAATTTAAAAATTTAAATGATATATTGTTTTAAGTTATACTGTGTTTTGAAATGATATACTGTATTTAAAATACAGTATATCATTTCAAAACTGATATACTTTATAAAAAAGTGAAAATTAAAGAAAAGGAATCACGTCTTCTTTCAAATAATAACTTTTTCCTAATCAAAGCATCAATAAAGATCCTTTTATGATCTTTAATATAATTCATTTCCTATATTTTCAATAAAGTAAATGAAAAACTATTTCTCACTATTCCTATAAACAAATAAACATTGGCATGAGAGTTTGTGTTTGCAGAATAAAGGAAAAGCGAAACAATCGTACATAGAGATAGAGGTCAAATATGTGATGGGGATAGAAAGGCTATCCCCTAACCTACTCCGCCTTGTTTTTCTTATAACCTTGAACTCCTGCATACTGAGGGGACATATTCAATTCAAGGCCATCTTTATTATCCTTCACTTCAATATTTTCTGAGAAATGGATTCGTCTTTATTTTCTTTCAACACTATTATTGCATTTAATCACAGATAATAACAGAATTTAAAATTTTTCAATTTTAATTGCCATGCAATTGGTATAATCTAATGACGATTCGTAATTAAAGAAAAGAAATAATTTTACATTTGAAAAAAAAAATCAAAACTTCTCCCTTACATTTCACAAAAATCCATATTTCCGTTAAAGTAAATTTCTCTTTTCAAATTTCTAGAGCGTGTCTTTAACCTTGATAAACTAATTTTCTGCGACCCGTCATAAAAACTGGAAGGCAAGGTCTTACCTAACCAAGGCCCAGCTGGAAAATAAATGACTTTGGCAAATTCTAGGACATATCTTTCACTTACAATACTCTATACTCTGTTCCAGAAATTAACGTTTTATTTTTTAAGTGTTCAAATTTCTAAAGCAGTAACAAAAAAGATTCTTGAGAAATTGATTTACTTAAAACTTCATATTATATTCAATAATTCCGTTTAAAATAATTTGTGATAATTGAATTAAATAAAAGACTTTATTTAACGTAATTTTAAACATTGATAACATTTAATTATTATAAAATTTTAATCTGAGATAAAAAGTTTGTTTAGTTCACAATATTTTACCAAGAAAAAGGTCGTTGATCTTGACAGATTGAATCTAAATATAGATTGGCAAATGTCCATCTGAGAAAATACACTTCTCATAGCAATTCCTTTGGATAAAACACATTAAACTAAAATATTTCTATATTGAAAAATTATTTGCTTTGTTTCTAATTTATTACCTTACTAATAACTTGGAATTTTTTAAAAATACGCTATTTATAATGGTAATATTTTAAGTTATCAATTTATAAAATATAGATCTATTTCTAATTCATGTTGTACTTTTTTTAAATAATGAAGTATTTTAAACTTGTCTTTTTTTATAGACTTAGTACTTAATTAGAATATAAATTAAATTAAAAATATTAAATAAATTACATATACATTATTTCTTAAGTCATTCGGATTTTGAAAAAAATGCTTGTAATTACATTAATTTAATTATAAAATTTATTTGTCTATTATTACTATTAAAATATTAAGTTTAAAAAATTTGAATCATTTCATGATGCATCTTAAACTATCATCAACACCTGTCCAATAGTTTATATAATTTTATTGGAAATAATGAGTATGAAAAGATTCAAATTAATCTTACTTAAAGTTGATAAATCTATACGTTTATATCAGTTAATTTTTCACGTAATCATTATTACCTAAAATAATTAATTTTGATAATTTTTCAAATACAAGTTATTACAAATCATTTTGTAATTGTTCTTAATTATTACTTAATATTTGAAATTGTCTATATTTTTGTCTTTAAAGACGTTTGTTTTGAATTTAAAAACTAATAATTTTAACATATACAATTACTAAAGATATTTTAGTCAATTTTTCAAATCTATTAGTTTTTTCCAGTATTTTTTATGAAAATTTTTCTTATATGGAAAATATATTAAAATAAAATTTACTTTACAGTTGGGAAAGTTATAATTTGATAATTATTTACAATATAGATAAGCAAAATCAATCAACATGTACAATATATTTTTTCATATCCAACAATTTAATTATTCTAAAGAGAAAGTATATCAAAAATTCCATAAGATAGACTAATTATTTTTAGAAAATATAAAATAATTTTCAAATAATTTCACTAAGTAAGTTTAGACAAGAAATTATGTATCAAATTTACAAACTATTTATTTAGAACAGTGATTCTCAACCACTGTGCCGCAACACTTTAGTGTGCCTCAAGATTTTTGAAGTGTGCCGCCATTGCGAATACCCATATATGAGCGATGTCAGACAAATAGTTCTATTGGTTCTACTTCCTAGGACACATTTGGAAATTGTAACTGGTGTTACCGGAAATTGCCGGTAGTTACCAAGGCATTTAGAAAAGGTGACCTTTGTAATACAATTTCATTTTATATTTCATTGAAAATTATTATTGTATGCTATTTTTACATAACATATTATAGGTACAGTACATCTCTTAACCTAGTAAAATTCTTTTAAATTTATCTTATTATTAGTGTGCTGCAAAATTTTTAATTATTAAAAGTTTACCATGATGAAAAAAAAGTTGAGAATCATTGATTTAGAAACTAAGTAACATGAGTTTTAAAATCATAAATATGAAGTAAAAGTAAAAAATTAATATTAAAAACTTATACAGTTTTATATTATTACAAAATTAATTAACCATTATCTTAAAATATTTATTATGCTATTTAATATTTTGTTACATAAATCAAATAATGAAATAGGGTAAAAATTGAAACTATACTACTTCAAAGTATATTTTACAATGTAACATTGTAAAATATACTACTATTAATAAGAAATACATTATTATAAAATTCTGTTGTACTGTACATAGCTAATACTTAAATACTTTTAATTGATAAATTTAAATAGAAGAAAGAAATTCATTTGGTTTTGTTTGTATAAAACAAAAGCTTAAAATTATACAAGTTTATTTTACTTTACAAACATTATATGTGTGTTCAGAATTTACCTTTACTTTTAATATCAAAATTTCTAATAATTATAAATATAATCACTTTCTAAAGCATATTTAATAACCATACTAATTGTATTACATTTATCCAAATAATACAAGAAATTTATTTACAATAAATATCAAAATATTTAATAATTTTAAATGTTTTGTTAGAATAATTATTCTAATTTCAAGCATTTATATCAATTAATTTACATTCTTTATCATGCAAGTTTTATAGACTGGTGATAGAGCAATTTATCTCTTATAACTTAAAAATAATAAATGAAACAATTCTTTATAACTTTATTTACATCACGATGTAGAAATAAAAATTAACTAGAAGTCATTTATCATACCTGTCTAATAAAAATCTAAAAATGTTTATATTTATAAAAATAAAAATAATAATAATTAATTACTTTAACACAGTCAAAACTTGTATTATATTTAGCATTTAATATAAAATATCACATATAAAAAATATTAAACTTTCTGACAACTGTAAATTATAATGCGCATTAAAAGAAACTTATTGAAATTAATTTAACCTAAATTCTTATTGAGAAAAGTATTCTGTATAGAAATTTGTAATGAAAACAGAAATGATATTTGTGTTTACTAGTAAAATATAAAATAAAGTGCAAATAAACTGAAATAAATGCATTGTTCATATACCTTGAGATAATAGTTTATTAAACAGAGATCTATATAATAAAAAAAAATTTTAATATAATACATAAATTGTATATGCTTACTTTATGTATATTTTCTTCGTTAGTAACTGTTCCCGAATAGTAGAGTGAGGATTGTGGCATTGGTTGTGATAAGGAATCTAAAAAAACAAATAAATAAAACTAGCATTTAATTATATAGTTACTCATTTTCAAATACAGTCAACCTCCCCTATAACACTGTTGATAATTCCGTTTTATATGAATTCCATGTTGTACGAGTCATTTAGATTTTACAGATACGCGAGCCATTTACAACCTGGCACACGTATTTGTAAAATCTAAGTGACTCGTACAACATAGAATTCATATAAAACGGAATAATCAACAGTGTTATGGGGGGGTCGACTGTATTAACATTTTTCCTTTAATACTATTTTAAAAACATTTTAGAAAATACAAAATTAAAATTAAATAGTATTTCTTTGCTATTTTCGATTGTTTTCTGCTTTAAGATATAACTGTTCAAGAAACCAATTTTTTATATAAAAATATATATTTAAAATTTTTTAAATCTCAGATTCATTTCTATTCCTATAAAAACAGAATTAAAGCAGCATTAATTAAAATAAACTAAATCATACATTTCATAGAATAATTATTATTTGAGGGGAGTAAAATTGTGTTTGAATTATTTAAAAGGTAAATGTAACTTCTAAAAAATAAAATAACTCAAAATTTCAAACATTTTAAAATTTTAATAATTTCGAAATATTCGAAAATATCTGTAGCCCTTGTTTAAAATATTAATTTCGGGTACACACGTATCAAATACGATAAAGACTGTATTAAAAATGGAGAAAGTGACCTTTGGGATTTTAATATCAATGACACATTTACAGAAATATCTAATATATTCGATTAAATTATTGATATATTCTACAAAGTTTTTTTTATTTCGTAATTTTATTCCAAAATAAATGGCGTATCACGCTATCACGTGAGACGAAATTTAAATCTAGCAGTTAATTTCCGGATTAATTTTATTTACGAAAATATTTTGTTATAAATAAAACACATTAGTTTTGTAATATATTATTTTAATTTTTTTTTCTTTCTAACATAAAATTCAATAGAATACGGCATAAGAATCGTTCTCCATGGGATAGTTAGGGTGAGACTATGCAGACGCGAATTTAGTAGCGAGCGATATAGTTATCGCAAAGGAAGACCATGCACAAGCGAGAAGCGAGAAATATCGCTGGAGAGTGCGAATTTCTGGTTCTCGCCGGGGTTTGATATTTATCGCATCTCGCCTCTTCTACGCCACATATTCTCGCTCGCTCGCGTCCGCATAGTCGCACCCTTACAACCGTATTTACATCTCATATTTTAAAAAAAATTAATAATACTGAAACTGAACGACTTGGGCATTGTTACGTTAAACACCACAATTTAAGTTGATTATTAATACAAAAATTTAAAGTTTTATCTATTTGGATGTCAAATATAATAGCGTTGCCAACACCGAACCAGACAGTCCCTGTGACTATTTAATCTTTTCACTTAAACCCAAAGTAACCATGGCAACGCCGCCATATTAACATCCCGATATCGGTCATAGAACTGCCACTACGCATGCTCGTTTCTGTCTTAGCGAGATCGATTGAGGGAGACTGGAAAGAAAACTAAACAATGAAATATCCAGAAATATATATAAATATATTATAACCATAAACGAATATAAATTAAAAAAATATATGTAATCAAACCAACCGAAAATAAAATAAATCATCATCAGTTATTCATTAAGAACCAAAACCATTCGTTTAAAATTAAATATACTAATTTTGATGTCAATAGCTAAAAGAAAATTAAATAATAACTTATGCAATATGCGTTCTGGATAAATTTCTATATGATTCTATATTTAAGTTTAAAAAGGAAAATATCGTAAAAAATATGTGCTAGGAGAACTTACCGATGAAGTTCTCTCCCTGTGGATAATAGATACTGTAGGCCTCTCATGAAAGACTAAAATCATTGAACTGTTGGAAGTAACGAGAACAACGTTGGGGAGTAATAAATACAGTTGAAAAATAATTTATGATCATGGAAAACAAAATTTTACAATTCATTACAATTTACAATTTCTATGTTGCTATTAAAGAATTTCGTTAAATATAAACAGTAATTTATAAATTTTCTTGTTAACCTTAAATTTTTTTCATAGTAAATAGTGAGTTTTTCTAATATTTGCTATTCTCTCGCTCTGTTTTTTTTTTTTTTTTGTTTGGATTATAAAATGGAAGATCTAAATATGCAACTTTGATAGAATTATAAAAATAATAATAGATTTTGTACAAATGATATATACTAAAATTTAAATACACTTTTTTGTATGATGCTGAAAAAAATTATTATTTAAAATGGAGTTATTTAAATATAAAGGTATTTTTATTACACAACTTTAATTATTTTTGTAAAAACTTTTTTAAAACGTTTTTATAAAGTTATCGAATTTCAAGAGGAAATTTTAATTTTTTTCTTTTTTTTTTTTTTTTTGAAAACAAGTAACTAAGGCGTATAATATTTTCAAAGCAAACTGATATGTATAATTCATTTACTTATTATATTTATAGAAATATTAAGAATTAAACCGTATAAAATGTTTTTTCTTTTATTCTCATTAAGAAAAAAAAATATATTTTTTTCTTAATGAGATGCATACGATGAAAATTTTATATTTCGTGCCAACAAGATTAAATTCGATGGAACACATGGGAAGCAAAGCCTTTCTCTCTTCGATTATATAACGCCCTCTGGGGACAAACTAGTACAAGTTGAGAACAGGAAGTTTATAATGTACAGGTCACTTACCCGAGACCTTACGGGTATGGCCGTTATATCCTACTATATCAGTTATCGATCATATATTTATACATAAAAAAACATATTAATATGCCAAACGAATCTCTACCCTACAGCCATTTCCCTTCACCCTTCTTTTTTATGTTCCCGAAAGATTGCATTGGAGTTGAAGGATAAGAAATTTCAAGCTCAATTTATATGAAAATCCTAATTTATTATAACATAACAAATAATGTGTATTTATATTTAAGAATATCCATAAATCAATGATATCAGGTGAAGATAATGAGCATTTGGTTGATGCGATCGATTTTTCCCTCGCAAATGTTTTCTACATTTTCAAGGGTAAATACCTACAGGGATGAGATGACGAATTTCTCTATGTTATAGGTAGATGACTAAAACGCACATACACATATGTAGGCTGTATACGTTTTCCTGTAAACATTTATTTATAGTTTTAATCTTATTTGTACAGTTTTCTTTAACGGTTATATAACAGGACATTTCAGATAATTTTTAAACTGTATCCTAAATACAAAATAACATTGCGAAATGGACAGAATCTTAATATTTATAATTCCTCAATTATTTAATAAGCTTAAATCTATACATATTAACATTTAAGTGATTAAAATTTAATATGTTATTGATTATATATCGATATATTACTTATTTAATACGTTATATTGATATAAACGACGTCCTATTTTAACGGAGTTTTATCAGTGTTATTCTTCGTATAATTTAATTAATTTCGGGCAATGTGGTATTATCAGCGTCATGATATAGAAACGTAGGATGATATACAATACACGCAAACGTAGAAATACAGGAAAATGAGAAGAAAATAATTTGTCTACTTAATATATTATTTTCTGATTAGAGATTATATATATAGAACAGAATATATACAAACCAGAGCGAATTTGCCTATCTCTCAAATCGTATCCAGCTTGTGAAGATCTAGATGTTGGCGAATCCCTTCTAGACTCCACATTGACTAAACGCGATTGCACTTCCCCCTGACGGTGAAGCACAGAAATTGGTGAAGTTATTTGATGTATATCCTAAAATTTTACGATAATAACATCTAAGATGATAATATTAATAATTCTAATATTATTTATAATAATTTTACAATTAAACTAACTTGTATGTCTCCCGTTTTCGCTGTATGATAGTGAGTTGGTACCTCACGTTTGTTGGCTATGGGCATTGTACACAATAGATTCTGTAAAGAAAGTTGTTAAAGGTTGAATGAAAGTGAAGATGTACAGTACAAAAGGTCTGTATTCTAGAGGCCCCAAAAGGTGCATTTTATTTTTCTTGCTAATAAAATGTTTTTTTCGCAAACTGATTTTATTAAATATATTTAAATCACGTAACTTATGCATTCATATATATAAACGTTTTCGATTAATATTTCTAAAAACGTAAATTATTTTTTTGAAATTTTTAAAGTCCAAATTTCTCTTTTCATTTTCGATACATTTTACAATTAGTTGACTCACCGGCAATAGTCTGAGTCAAGCAATGAAACACACACGATTTTTATTATTTCAGCTGAGATCTTTTTTCTATACCTTTTTTAAAACCTTATATTTTGTATACTGGCACGATAAAGTGACCGTTTAACCAACACTTGGCAAGTTTTCCATCTTTACTTAGTTATTTAGTTAGTTTTCCATCTTTAGTTAGTTATTTAGTTAGTTTTCCATCTTTAGTTAGTTATTTAGTCAGTTTTTCATCTTTATTTAGTTATTATCTAACTAAATAAAGATGGAAAACTTACCAAGTGTTGGTTAAACGTTCACTTCATCGTGCCATTATACAATACATAAACAACACGGTTTCGATAACAACAATCTTATATTTGACAAAAAATTATTTGTGATATTTCTTTAAAACCGTATTTATTAATAAATGATTCAATCGCCCTTTCGAATATAACTCACATAAATAAAAAGAAATCATTAAAAATATTGTGTAATAAATTTAAATTACTAAACTTATTAAATATCGACAGTTAGATATTAAAAAAGTTATTATAAAAATATCATTTAAGCGTTTTATTAAAAGATTTTAAAACTAACGTACGATAAAATAAAATTTATTTGTCCCACCTGAGTTTAATTCAAAAAAGATAACACATCCGACTTCACCGCGAGAGAACACCTGCGAAATGCAAGTGTTTCAAGGCCATCAATGGTAATACATGTGTTTTTCTTCACTTCGTGACGTCATTTTTCTGAAAAACCGATCTTTACCGATCATTTCCAAGTAAGGATAAAGTTGCTCTAAATTATGATTGATAACAGTCAAGTTACACAATATTCATTACATATTTCGTGATAATGTGTAATAATCCATAATTAAAAAAATGATTAATAAACTTTTAAAAGTATTTTTTATGTTTTTTTTTTTTTTAATGTTTACAGTTTAAAATCTATTACATCACTATCACGTGAAAGTTTGTTGTTGTTGCATTGGTCTGTTATTGGAGTTTTTAAAGGGAATAACTACGTAAACATAATACCGGCATCTTATTGGTTTAAAATTTAGAACTGACGTTTTCAAACTGATTCTATTTGCTACGAAAATCATGGGGTTATTCCATGCGAAGTTTTATTGGATACAAAAGTCACATGGCCGAAATGCTGGTTTGGTATTGGTTAGTCATAAAGAAAACACATCAAGCTAAACCATGAAGAAGCACTGAGAAGGATGTCGGTGATCGCATACGAGGACTGTATGTTTACGGGTTTGAGATCGTATTGTACAGAAAATAGACTTTTTATGATAGATAAGTGTTTAATGAGTTAGTAAGAAGAGACAGAAGAGAATTGGGCGAAGTAGAGATAACAGGAAGTTTGATGTCAAAAAGGAAGGTGAGACGAAGTTCCTTTAACGGTCGCCATATTGGCTCGTTCGAATGTTATCGTTTCGGAAGTTAAATATAGTTTACAGAAAATGGAAAATCGGGATTATTTAAACGGATTTCGATTAGTAATAATGTTAGGTATTAAATTAGTTAATTTTATATTTCAGGTGAATGGTTGCGTTGGATTTTCGGATTTTCTATTGACGTAACGCAGCTGTCAGCCATTTTATAAATATATACNATCGCATACGAGGGCTGTATGTTTACAGGTTTGAGATCGTATTGTACAGAAAATAGACTTTTTATGATAGATAAGTGTTTAATGAGTTAGTAAGAAGAGACAGAAGAGAATTGGGCGAAGTAGAGATAACAGGAAGTTTGATGTCAAAAAGGAAGGTGAATAGTTGCATTTGATTTTCTATTGACGTAACGCAGCTGTCAGCCATTTTATAAATATATACAAATAGAGAAAGCTGTATGTTTGATGGTAAAACTATTGATTTGCTTAAATTTGTTTTAAAATTATGATGATCAGTAATAGTTTTGAGGCCATTCAAGTGGTCGGACTGCCGCTTGTGCAGCGCAGAGGCCAATATATAAATTCATCTCTCTATGGTATTATTAGCCCTCCTAGAAGGCAAACTTTGAATGTTTCTGAATGGGGAATACAAGTTCCATTTACTTGTGGCACTGGTTGGAGGAAATGTTATACACCACCTGCTACCACTGTTCCTAATAAGGCCAGCATTAATATACTGAAAAGAAATTCACCAAAGCTAAAAGGGAAGCAGGGAGCCAACCCCTCTCCGTCCAGAATGTCACCGACCAAGTCGACTGCACCGTGCAGTGACAATGGATTGTATGCTGGTGCCAAATTCAGTGATCCGCCGTCTCCGGCAGCATTACCTAAACCACCGTCTCACTGGATGAACGTGGCCATTGAAACCGTTGTTGACAAACCTTTGGCTGCAAATAATTCACATTGGATGAGCATGAACATGAAACCCCAAGATCCCTTTAAAAACTTTGAACATAGTATCAAAGAATCAGCACCAGAAAACTGTGTCGAAATGACCAATCATCTCAAACTGCTGCTGAATGTTCAAGCATAATGTACTAACATTTCATCATTTTTGTTTTATTCCTTTTGACAAATGGAACATAAGTTTAAATTTGTATTAAGGAAAAACAAAGTTTAAAAAAACTTTACAACTCCAATCATTCTCTTTAGAAAATTTTTTACACATGAAAAGTAGAAAATGCATATATGAAATTTTATAACTGTAAATAGGATAAGAAAATTTTAAAAATTCTTATCCAATTAATAACTTGAAAAAAATGTCTTTATAAACAAATCAAATGCCATATGCATTTTGTAAAGTAAATCACTTTAGTGATTAAATATTTTGGCTGTGATCAATTTAATTGGTGCGATGGGAACTTTAATTAGATGTGATTATTGGAGTTGTAAAGTAATTTATCTTTAAATGTTTTCATAGTTCAACATAGATATATATAATATATATACAAACAAACAGTATATATATTTATATACACATATAAGCTTCTGGTAGTTTTCCTTTTTCTTCCTTTTCTTTTTTCTTGCATGTTTTGTGATTTCTCTTTTAGCTTGTAAATATGCCACCTTATTGCTTGGTTGTTTCGTTATCTTAATTTTTTTTTAATTAGAAATTCAAATACTTAATATTAAATGCTAGTGCAGATTCCTTTATCATAAATTCATATATATATATTTTTCTTTTTAATATAAAAATTGTTAAAAATCCAATGTGTTATGTAGAAACCAGTGATGTGGTCTTAGGTGTTATGTATAGATGATACTTGATATATATATTTTTTCCCCCTGGATGTTTTATGGTTAGTGAATCTTGGTGGCTTGCTTTGTCTAGTCACAAAGACTTAGTTTTTTACTGTGTAAATATGTCAAACTATTTTTATGGTGTGATGTCACCTTTACATTTTTCCCCTTTTATTTTTCCATGTTGCTATTGATACAATGGGACTAACTGTGATATTCATAAGCCTCTTACGTATTGAAGAGGTATGACAAAAATCACAAAAATGTACAATCAATTATCATATATTATTTTATGTTAGTACATATTGTGCAACAGGCAACTGGATGAAAATTTTAAAGCACAAGCTAATGATGGGTTCAATATAATATGTTACATGGTCAGAGTAATGGTTTTGTGTGTCATTGAATCTGAGCAACACACAAACATTCCACTGTATTTACAGTAGCTGCCAAAGCCATTATGTCTTTCTTCAACACATTGTGTTGATATGTGTTGCTTGGGATCAAGAATATTGACATTGATTGCTAGATCTGTAAAATGGTACATCGCTCTGCAACTACCCATCATAGTTCTTTGTGACAGATAATTCAAGGAGGACTAAAGTAGAAGCCATCAAGAAACACTAACTCCTAGATGGAAAGTGAAACTTTTTTAGTTAGAGCATTGAGAACAAGTCATTTTCCAAATCCCATCTTAATACATTGCCTATAGTGCTAAAATTTAATTTCATTGATCATTCCATATTAAAAAAAAATTCATAAAAAAGATCACTTCAGTTTTTTTTTCTTTGCTTTGCTTCAGTGCTAATGACTAAATTGCTTATCTTTCCTTTTGCTGTTATGGTTTTTATCATAGAGAAAAACCTAAAACCACTTCATTCATTCTCTGAATGATTGTTATATAATGCATGAATGTATGTAGGTATGAATGTGAGTGTCTGCATGTGTGTGTATGTATGTATACCTGATTGATATTGAAATGAATGAATTCTCATTTTTCAAAATTGTTTAGTATTTAATGTTTCACAGTGAAACAACATTGTTTTTGTGATTTGTATTTCTAAAAAAAATTGCTTTAATCTATTACTAACTTAAGACTTTTGCTTAAGTTCCTTTTCACAAATATAAAAAAAAATTATACATTTGTATACATATATACATACATACGAATTTATATTTTAAATACAGTCAAACTCTGTTAACATAAAATTGAAGAGACTTAAAAATTAGAACTTTGTATTAACCGAAGACTTTTGCTTAAGTTCCTTTTCACAAATATAAAAAAAAATTATACATTTGTATACATATATACATACATACATAATTTTTTTATAATTGTGCCATCATTCTGAAAAAATATTTTTAACATCTTTTGTATATTGTGGTGGATGAGTATCCTCTAATAAAATATTGATTTCACTGAAAAGACAGTTGTGTTTCTGAGATTGTGAATGGGATGTAATGTGAAGATGTTTATTGTTTCTTCTAATTTTTATATTTTTATAAAAATTTTTATTGTATATGACAATATAATAATTTTATTGCATATAGCAATTTATAAAAATTAATAAATTTAATTTTCTCAATATATCATCCATATTTCAATATTGAGAAAATTTATTTTATTTCATGAATATATATTGGCTATATCATAAGTTGAAAAATAGTATTGTATTTTTGTACTATTGCAAATTTAAATATCTAAATTTAAAATTTAAAAGATGAAAATATCTATTTTTTATTTTATATTTACATATACTTAAATTTTGAAATAGAAATAGACATTAATAATTCAAAATATTTTCTATTAAAATTTATACAAATATTGTATTGTTACATTTCTGTTAACTGTTTTGTTATACTATTCTGTTTTCTGTTGTTCTATTTTTCCCATTTTAATAATTTATATTGTTTCTTTTTGAATAATAGATGAGGGAATCATATTTATTTCTCTAAATATAATATAATTTTTACTGTAGGAAAAACAAAATTGCCTCAGAATCGAAGGCAAACATCACATCCAAATGGTACTCTAGTCATTCAAAATGTAGATAGATCGAGTGATCAAGGCTGGTATCGATGCTCTGCAGCAAATTCAAGAGGAGAGAGTGCAGTTAGAGAAGTATATGTAAAAGTACTTAGTATGTAAAGTTATTTATATTAATTATAATCTTTATTAAAAATTATTACATAATTATATTTATATATATTTTTTTTTATTT